TCCCTCAATCTTGCACCTGTCTGGCAGAAGGTGTTGCTCTTTCTGTCCCACCCCCCCCTGAGCTGGCCTAATCATCATTGGTTTCCAGGGGTAGAGCCCTGTTTTCAGTGTTCACCTCCTTTGTTCTGGCCCTGATGACCACCAGATCAGAGCTGCCTGTCTCCAAACTCCCTCAAGTGGTCTCAGGAAGCAATCATGCAGACCAGTTCCTCCCCCTCCTAGTGCAGTCCTAAAACAGAATACCGGGTAGTTCAAAATATTTCCCACTATTGTCCTCTCTCCACAGAGACCACAATCTCATGCTGTGATTTTGCACCAACTTCAGGCACATCCCTGTCTGAGTGAGTATGGAGATCAGTGGAGGAGCCAGGCATCCTCCTATGGGTCAGATTCTGCTGCATTTTCTGGCCAGGTGAGCATGGCCGTCCCACACTCTATTCTCTATTGTTTATCTCATACTTTCTAGACTTTGTCATCGTATCTCCCATTCACATTATTATTATTTTTTTTGTATGTTGATTGTCCCATTTTGTTTCTCTGTAGTTTCACATTGCTGTTCTTCTGGGGGAAGAATCCACTTGTGTGCAGCCATCTGAGTTCTTCAGCTCTTTCTCTGGGAGCAAAGGGCTAAGAGTTCACCTCTACTTCACCATTTTCCTACCCCCACAGTGTATGTTTAAGCTTTTTTAGCAAACTTTTTTAAAACCTGGTGTTATAACAATCAGGAAAGAAATATAGTTAAAGTTATAAGACAGCAATGATTATTGCCTCAAATAGCTATTAGGTGATATCTGTTCACTGATAATTTAGTTCCCATATTAACTCATTGCTATTCAAGCTAGTATGGTAAAAAAGATGGGAAAGATAACTAATAAATTGCTAAGTGAGGTTACGATTGTTAGAAATTCTATTTTTGTTTCTTATAATCAGGATGACTTTTTGTTTCTTGTAATCAGGATGACATTCAACATCCCAATTCTCAGTAATTCAAACAGTTAAAGATACTAGTCATTGCAAAGTACTTTCTCACACTTTGTTCTATTCTTTCCATTATTTTTTTTCTCTCTGTGCTTTGGTTTGGCTATTTTTTATTGACTTTTTGAGTTCATTAATTCTGTGCTGTCTTGTATATAGTATATTGTTAAACCCATCAATGAGTTCTTAGTTTCAGGTACTGTATTGTTACTTGTAGAATATCCACCTGATTTTTTCAATAGATTCTAAGTCCTTGTCAAATTCTTCATATTTTCATCTACTTTGTCCATCACTTTTTCTATTTAACATTACAGTTATTATATAAACCTGTTCTGTTAACTTCAATATTTAGGTCATTTATGAGTCTGCTGCTATTATTTTATTTCTTTCTTTTTATTGTCAGTCACATATTCCTGCCACTTTGCATGACCAGTTTTTTGTTTGTTTGTATGGTGTACATTGTGCATAAAAGTCAGAAGCTCTAGATGACATATTCTACCAGACAGGGGTGCCCTTTTCCTCTTTTAGGAAGGGTGAAGCACTTATCATCTTAATCTAGTTGGTCAGTGAACTGGGTCTAGCCTGGGTTGTAGTTTTAGTAAGAGTCAGCCAACCACTGGTTCCTCCTTGTTTTTTCAGTATGGCATTCTCAAGATTCTGATTGACAGTCTGACTGGTTTCTCTCTCGTCAGCACTAAAAAGCTGTAGGAAATTTGGTTTTGCCTGTCAGAGGTTTTGAGCTTGGCTATTTAGTCTCCTGGTCCAAAAAGAATCTGGCAAATATCACGTGGAGGAGAGGAGTTGTGTATATGTGGCATATCCTCTCACTTCAGAACAGGAACTGGCAAACTTTTTCTGCCAAAGCCCAGTAGTATATATTTTAGAATTTGTAAACCATATGGTCTCTATCACAACTGTTCAACTCTGCCACTGTGTGTGAAAGTAGTCATAGACAATACATAAATGGATGAGTGTGGTTGTATTCTAATAAAAATGCATTTATGGACATTGAGATTTGAATTTCATATAATTTTCAAATGTCACAAAATAGTATTTTTTATTTTTATCAGCCACCTAAAACATGTAGAAACCACTGTTAGTTTACAGAGAATACTAAAACAGGGAGTGAGCTAGATTTGGCACATGGGTGATAGTTTGACAATCCCTACTTTATAGGGACATTAATTTGTTAAGACTGTGTGAGATTTCATTCTATTTTCATCAGATTCTTGAAGAGGTCCATGATACAAAATTTCTAAACTTGTGATTCCAAAAATAACATAATTTTCACTATAAATTATATATAGGATGGTAGAGAACAACCAAACTCATATTAAAGCCATGACATATAGTAAGATAGTACACTCAATCTGTTCTGCATGGTGACCATGGCTAGGCTCATGAGCTAAGGAGCTTGCTCCTGAAGTATGCTCAATGAAAATTTATTTATCAGCAAAATTGCTAATTACTTCAGGAAAATGATAATGATGATTTGTCTTTTTGAGAAAGAGTCTGGTTATACTGTCCTGGATAGAGTGCAGTGGCATCATCGAAGCTCACTGTAACCTCCAACTTCTGAATTCAAGTGATCCTCTAGCCTCACTCTACCAGTAGCTGGGACTACAGGTGTATGCCATGATGACTGGCTAATTTTTCTATTTTTAGTAGAGATGGGGTCTTGCTCTTGCTCGTGAACTCAAGCAATCCTGCCTCAGCCTCTCAGAGTGTTGGGATTGCAGGTGTGAGCCACCACACTTGAATGATGATATCTTTTGATATTCATTAAGAAGTTAATATGTGCTTGACATTGTACTTAGTGCTTTACATGTAATATCTCATTTAATCCTCACAACCACCATTTGAGAACTACTATTGTCCCCTTTTATGGATGAGGAGCCTGAGGCTTAAAGTGTCAGGTAACTTGCCCCAGGCAATAGAACTAATAAATGCTGGACCTGGGATTTGGATTCAAGTCTTATTCTAAAACCTGTGCTCCCAATCGCTACTATTTCCCATGTCATAGAACTTTGAGATTATATATGAAATGTAGAAGTGGTGAATCCCAAGAATATACTGTATGATCAACTCTTAATGATATATTAATATTATGGACTAAATATTTGTGTACCCCCAAAATTAAATATGTTGAGACCTTACTCCCCCCCCCCAAGTGATGGTATTAGGAGGTACGGCCTTTGGGAAGTAATTAGGACTAACGAAGTGATGAGAGTAGAGCTCTCATGAATGGCATTGGTGCCCTTATAAGAGTCCTGAGAGAGCTAACTTTCTTCTGTTCTCTACCTTGTGAAGATACAATGAGAAGTAGACTGTCTATAAGCCAGAAGAGGACCCTCACCAGAACTTGACTATGCTGGCACCCTAATCTCAAACTGTCACCCTCTAGAACAGTGAGAAATAAATTTCTGTTCTTTATAAGCCACCCAGTCTATGTTGTTTTATTAATAGAAACCCGAATATAATAAGAATGAACAGCACTGCCATCTCTTTCTCCTTCTACATGTCTCCTTAGAATGATTTTCATATACTACATCACTTAGAACAAGCAGGTAAAAGGCTACAGAATCTAGATGTGTGAAGAAAAATACATTCTCTAAGGATGATTTTGGCCCCACTGTTAAGCTGTGGTACATTTCATCTTCACAAAGATATTCTGGGATTGGCAGGCATTTAGAAAAATGACCAGATACATTATATTCTTGTGGGAATATATTCAACTATGGATTATTCAGTGACAATCTAAAAATTATATAACTCACTTGATTAGAAAGAAGTGACAGAGAAAAGTAGTAAAACCTAAATCAGGTTTGTTATTCAGTGATAGTTTTTATAAATAATAGAGAGGAGGAATAGGCTGAAATTAGAAACTACATTCTGGTTTTAAATTAGATAATCTATATACAACGGAAAGAGCTTGGACTTTGAGGTCAGGAAGAACTAGGCTATAAACACAGCTCTGGTACTCACAAGCTGTGTGATCTGGGACACGTTATTTAAGCTCCTTGAGTCTCAATGTATTCAACATACAGGAATAATTACCAATACAGCAGAGTTTTTTGTTTTGCTTTGCTTTGTGGATGAGGAATGAATAATAATAAACTTACTGCTCTTTGCATCACAGTACATACTTAATAAAAGTTAGACATTATTATTACTCCTCAATTATTATTCCCCAACCTTAGAGTTAGTCATATTTCCTTTGCAATAAGACAACTTAATGGGTTGTACCATTGACATTGTACAGGTAGACAACACTATGCAAAGCAGTAGCTAGTGAGTCTATGTAAGTACACTGTGTTCATATCATATAAGTAATAAAAAAGGTAACTGTAAAAATTCAGTTACCTTTCCTTTGATCACAGCAAAACCACAGTAAAGAAAACATCTCGCTACCTTTGTTTTTCTTGATCACAGTAAAACCATGGTGATATCTGCTTAGAAAGTATAACTGTCATTATTTTGTCCCATAAAGTATAAATATTAACTACCAGTATTGAATATTAGCAAAGTTATAAATATTATAATTGGTGCTACTTCTACTATTTCATGTTGAAAGTTCTTTTGGTAACTAAACTTAATAAAACTATGGATAGAAAAAACAGACTGACAAGGAGACTGACAGGTAAATAGCAAAAGAAATAGAACATGATATTTATGTAGGTATGACTCATACCTACAAACTGATAGAATCCAGAAAAGCATATTTCCCTAACCTGATAAAATAGCTCTTGTTTATAAAATGATATTAAATGCTTTACTTAATCAACCTGTCAGTGCTACTCTAAACCCCCACATCCAAAGATCTGTATCATGAACTACATGGCAATGAAAAAAAAAAAAATACCAGTTACCTAAGTACCTCATAACTTAAAAAGAATTGCAAACTAAAGATATGAGAAAAACAAAACATTTCTGAAGAAAACAAATAAGTTCAAACTGCTAATTATAATGCTATCAAATTATTTAAAGAAAAGAATTAAGGCAAAATTGAATTATTCCAAACAAACCTGATATAGATTCTGATTTAGTCTTTGTTTCAGAGCTGAGTTCTGACGGTAAAGGCACTGAGTGTTTCAGGATATGAGTTGTTCTTGCAGGTAATTCGATTCCAGAAGAGCTTCCTAGCTGTTTACCAAAAAGATATTTCTTTCATAAGTAAATTATTTTACTAAAAGACTAAAATATCCTAAAAATTATAACATATTCCTACATCTACATTCTATTCTTATACGCCCAATACGCCCATTATAAGCAAACACCCACCCAAACAAAACTCATTGTGTACCTTTTTGGCCCATTTAAACTCTACCTTAGTTTCTTCATTAGATTCAGGGAGTGACTCTTTTTTGCTGCTTTTTGTCCATAATGATTTAACTCCTTCATATATTTGCTGGCTTGTAGCATATACCCTTTTCCCAGTTACCTAATTAAAAGAAAAAGCAAGTTAAATAATTATGTATTTTAAAGTTAAAATTTAAAATAATTTTACATTTGTCAGCTATTTTATATGAATACCCCAGGTGAGAATCAATAAAGATACAAATCTCTAGATCAGGCGTCCTCAAACTATGGCCTGCAGGCCACATGCCACCCACAGTGAGCACTTTCCAATGGTCTGAGGGACAGTGAACTGGCCCCATTTAAAAAGTTTGAGGACCCCTGCTCTAGATCATATAACGCAAAGTACAATTTCCCAAATCTTTCATGCCAAATTATTTACGGTTTTCCCCTCCCTTACTCGCCACTCCCCCCTGGTTGCTTTCCACTGAGTTTTAATTCCCTTTGTGCACATGTGTGCTCATCAGTTAGTTTCAATTTAATACTGACTACATGTGGTGATTGTTTTTCCATTCTTAAGATACGTCACTTAGGAGAATGATCTCCAGTTCCACCAAGATTGTTGCAAAGGTATTAATTTATCTTTTTGTAATGGCTGAGAAGTACTCCATGGTGTGTGTGTGTGTGTGTATCACATTTTACGAATCTACTCATGAACTGAAGGAAACTTGGGCTGATTCCACATCTTTGCAATTATGAATTGTGCTGCTATAAACATTCAAATGTAAGTGTCTTTTTGATGAAAGTCTTCTTTTCCTTTGGGTAAATACCCAGAGGTGGGATTGCTGGATTAAATGGCAGATCTGCTTTTAGTTCTTTGAGGAATCTCCCTCCATATTGTTTTCCATAGAGGTTGCACTAATTTGCAGTCCCACCAAGAGAGTTTATAAGCATTCCTTTCTCTCTGTATCCACACCAGCATTTATTGTTTTTGAAAGTTTTAATAAAGCCATTCTGACTTGGGTAAGGTGATATCACACTGTGGTTTTAATTTACATTTCCCTGATGATTACTGATTACAAGAATTTTTTTCATATGTTTAGTGGCCATTTGGTCTTTCTTTTTTGAGAACCTTCTATCATGTCTTTTTCCCACTTCTTAATAGTGTTGTTTTTCTCTTGCTGATTTGGTTTAGTTCCTTGTAAACTCTGCTTATTAGCCCTTTATGAGATGTGTAGCTTGTGATTATTTTCTCCCATTCTGTAGGTTGTCTACTGGCTCTGTTGATTTTTTTGCTTAGCTGTGCAGAAGCATTTTAGTTTAATCAAATCCTATTTATTTATTTTTGTTGTTGCCATGATTGCCATTGTGGTCTTAGTCATAAATTTTTTGCCTAAGCCAGTATCTGGGAGAGTTTTTTCTACCTTTTCTCTAGAATTCTTAAGGTTTTCTTCCTAAGATCTAATTCTTTTATACATCTTGAATTAATTTTTGTGAGTCGTCAGAGGTAGGGGTTCTGTTCCATTCTTCTGCTTGTGGCTATCCAATTTTCCCAGCACCATTTATTGAATAGGGCTTCTTTTCCCCAGTGTACACTGTTGTCTCCTTTGTCAAAGATTAGCTGGTTGTAGGTACATGGTTTTATATCTGGGTTCTCGTTTTGTTCCACTGGTCTAAGTTGCTATTTTCATACCAATTACATGCTGTTTTGATTACTATAGTCCTGTAGTATAGCTTGAAGTCTGGTGATGTGATGACGCCAGATTTGTTCTTTTCACTTAAGATTGCCTTGAGTATTTGGGCTCTTTTCTGCTTCTAAACAAAGCATAGAATAATTTTTCATGGATCTGTGAAGTTTGATTTTGGTAATTTGATGGGAATGCACTAAATCTGTAAAACAATGTGAGTACTATAGACATTTTAACAATTTGATTCTGTCTATCCATGAGCATAATATTTTTTTTCCATTTGTTTGTATCCTCTGTGATTTCTTTCCTCAGAGTTTCATAGTTCTCCTTGTAGAGATCTTTCACCTCCTTGGTTAAGTATATTCCTAGGTATTTTATTTTCTTTTTAGCCATTGTGAATGTATTGAGTCTTTGATTTCATTCTTGGCTTGACTGTTACTATATAGTATATAGAAATGCTATTGATTCATATACCTTGATTTTTGCATCCTGAGACTTTCCTGAATTTATTTATCCATTACAGGAGACTCTGAGTGGAATATTAGGGGTTTTCTAGGTACAAGATCAAATTGTCAGTAAAGAGTGATAGTTTGAACTCTACTTTCATGATTTGGATACCCTTAAAATTCTTTTCTTGCTAGATTGCTTCGGTTAGGACTTCCAGAACAATGTTAAAGAGAAGAGGTGAGAGTGGCCATCCTTATCTTGTTCCAGTTCCTGAGTGGGAATGCTTTCAACTTTTCCCCATTCAGTATGATGTTGGCTGTGAGTTTGTCATACATGACTATTATAATTTTGAGATATATTCCTTCTCTGCCTAGTTTGTTGAGGGTTTTTATCCAGAACCTGTAGTGGGTTTTGTTGAATATTTTTTTCTGCATCTTTTGAGATGATCATATGGTATTTGTTTTTGCTTTTGCTTATGTGTGAATCACATTCATTGATTTACATATGTTGAACCATCCTTGCATCCCTGAGATGACGTCCAATTCATCCTGGTGGATTATTTTCTTGATATGCCATTGAATTCGATTTGTTACTATTTTATTGAAGACTTTTATATGTATATTCAGAAGGGTTTCTTGTTGTTGTTGTGTCCTTTCCTACCTTTGGTATCAAGTTGATATTGACTTCATAGAATGAATTACAGATGATTCCCTCCTTCTCAATATTTTAAAATAATTCCTGTATTATGGGTAGTGGATCTTCTTTGTAGATCTAATAGAATATGGCTGTGAAGCCATCTGGTCCAGGGCTTTTGTATTGGGAGGATTGCTTATTATCAGTTTGATCTAAGTGTTTATTCTTGGTCTGTTCAAGAGTTCTATTTCTTCCTGGTCTGATTGAGTCTTACAAAATTGTGTGTTTCCAGGAACTTGTCCATTTACTCTACCGTCTCGAGTTTAGGCACATAGAGATTTACGTAACATTAATGAATGATACTTTGTATTTCTGCTATAACTGCTGTAATGTCACCATTTCATATCCGATTGAGATTATTTGGGTCCTTCCTCTTTTGTTATTGGTTAATATAGCAAGAGATCTCTTTATCTTTTTCAAGTTAAAATCTATATAGCAAGATAAATCTGTTTAGCAAGATTTCGTTTATCTTTACAAATAACCTACTTTTTGTTTTGTTAATCATTTGTATTTTGTTTTTGTTTTCCAATTCATTTAATTCTGCTCTGTCCTTCCTTATTTCATTTCTTCTGCTTGCTTTGGGTTTGGTTTGTTGTTCTCTTTCTAGTTGCTTGAGGTGTGATCTTTCTGTGTTTTTGATGTAGGCATTTAAGGCTATGAATCTCCCCCTGAGGAATTATTTTGCTGTGTCCTATAGATTTTGATAGCCTGTGTCATGACTGTAATTCAGTTCAAAAAAATGTTTATGTCCGTCTTAATTTCATTCTTAACCCAATAATCATCCAACAGCAGGTTGTTTAATTTCCACAATTTTGTATAGGTTTGAGTGTTTACCTTCTGATTAACTTCTGGCCTTGTTATGCTGTGGTTTCAGCATGTATACGTAACAATTTCCATTTTTTTGAATTTGTTGATACCTGTTTTGTGGAATAAAATATGATCACTCATACAGAATGCCCATGTGCTGCTGAGAGGAATGTTTATTCTGTAGTTTTTTAGTGGAATGTTTTATAGCTGTCTGTTAGACTCATTTGATGTAAAGTTTGGTTTAAGTCTATTGTTTTCTTAATTTATTTTCTGCTTAGATGATTTGTCAAGCTCTGGCAATGGGGTGTTGAGGTCTCCAGAAATTACAATGGTACTATTTATTTCTTTGCTTGGCTCTACTAAAATTTGCTTTATGTACCTGGGAGCTCCTGTGTTGGGCACATATACATTTAGGATTTTTATGTCTTCTTAGTGAATTCTCCCTTTACCATTATATAATGACCCTCTTTGTCTTTCTTTACATTTATTTCTTGGCTTAAAGTCAATTTTATCTGATATGAGAATGGCTACATCTGCTCTCTTTGGTTTCATTTGCATGAAATATTTTTTCCATCCTTTCACATTGAGTCTGCATGTGTCCTTGTGGTTTAGATATGTTTCCTGGAGACAGCAGATACTTGGGTTATATTTGCTCATCCATTTAGCTGGCCTGTGTCTTTAAGAAGAGCATTCAATCCATTCCCACTATTTGATACCATTGATATCTGGCATACTGGTCTGTTCATTCAGTTAGTAGTACCTTACTCCTTTTGTTTTACCTCTTGTTCTATTGTTTTATAACAGTCATGAATTTTGGGGTTCTTTTAGGTCTATTTACACAGGTGGGTATCTCTTGTGCTGATTTGTATATACTGCTGTTCTGAGTATTTCGTGAAGAGCAGCTCTGGTCATGGCAAATTGCCTAAGTGTTTGCTTGTCTGGAAAAGACTTAATTTCTCCATCAATTGTGAAATTTAGTTTTGCAGAATACAAAATTCTAGGCTGGCAGCTGTTCTGTTTAAGTTGGTTGAAGATGGAGCCCCAATACTTTCTGGCTTTTAATGTTTCCACTGAGGAGTCAGCACTTTGCCTGATGGGTTTTCTTTTGCAGGTTATTAAATGCTTACATCTTGCTGCTTACAGAGGTTTCTCCTTCATTTCAACTTGGCAAAGTTGATGACCATGTGTCTTGTAGATGACCTATTTGCTATGAATCTGTTTGATGTCCATCTTGTATCCGTATCTCTGATTTTCTGGCAATACTAGAGAAGTTTTCCTCAGTCATTTCCTCAAATAGGTTTTCCATGCCTTCAGCTTTTTTATTCTCCCTCAGGAATTCCTATAATTCGAATGTTAATTCACTTTGAAAAGTCCCATATCTCTCTCAGTGATTGGTCAAACTTTTTTATATTCTTCTCTGCCTCTTTGAGTGACTGGGTCATCTCGACAGCCTTTTCTTCAAGCTCTGAGATTCTTTCTTTTCCTTTGTTTAGCCTGTTATTAAAGCTTT